GTTCCCCCCCCCCCCCCCCCCCCAACCTTTGTAGTGGCATATTTGGAGGGCGAATGATGCTATTTGGTACGGGTTAGAACTACGATTCAGCTATTCAAAATTCTTATTTCAAGAGGGGACCATTGGTGTGATTTCTTTTCTGCCCCCCTAAATCCGCCACTGCTGACAGGGACGGATCCAGAGATATTTTCTGACAGTCTTCCAAATTATCTTTGTTGCTGATCTATCCTCCATTTTTGACCGTCTTCCGACAGAAAACATTAGATGCCCGACAATGTAAACTTGAAAATCTGACCGTCTTCCGGAAGACCCAGAAGACGGCCTAAATCCGCCCCAGCGGCGGGCTGTTGAATGCGTCTCAGAAGGGATTCTCACCTGCCAATCTGGTGATACACGCATAAGCTAGCCAGGCCATCCCCAGCCCCCAGAACGAGGCCGCCATCGCGTTGTACACCTCATTCACCCCAGCAGGCCAGTAGTGGGTGAAGTGGAGTGTGTAGGGGCCATAAACCACGGCAACACAGAGCGTGATGGTCGTCACCCATCCCATGCAGGCCGCACACTGAATAGGGAACAGGGTTATAGTATATAATGATAGTGGATGCAGTAGATGCCGCGTTACTCTGCATTGCGTTGGTCAAATTATTCCTCATTTAGAAAAAAATACTGTATGGAACAGGGTTTATCTTTGGTACGAGCTGAAATTTAATATTCACTGCCTAAAACATTCTTAACGTTAATCACGTACATAAAAACAATTTTAGATGCGTGGTTTTTATATCCATGCGTTAATCTAACATTTATACGGATTAGAGTCTAAAATCTACGTACTGATATCTTTCAGAATTAAAAGCAGATACCAAGCTCGTGACTTCTGGTATATCTGTATGTGTGCTACGAAAAACTTTATTTGATGAAAAATAAATAAAAATTCATCAATTTTTCTTTAACTAAATATTACCCTAGTTAAAATCCTGTGAGCTTTTGTCTTGACCAGAATGTTACCAGTTGCCATGCCTATTAAGAAAGGTCCAAGTCTGCACCACGGTTTGATATATATCCATTGAAACCACTTGGACCTAACGTTAACGAAAATAAAAAAAAAAAAAACATAGGTCAGTTAGACCAAATAATTAAAAGAAGTCAATCGACATGGCATACATCCACTAGCATAACGCACGTTTGGAACAAAAATTTCAAGCTTCACAATGCATTTTAATACGGCATGCTCTTTATTCGCCCACTTACATATTTTGATAATTAGCTATCCAAACGGCCGCCGGTAGGTTCATCTCTCCCGTCGTGACCCCGGCAGAGGTCCAGTTAGCAAGGATGAGGATAATGATAATGGATCCACCAACAAGCCAAGACCTGTAAATCAGATCACTTTTTTTTTCAATATCTCCATGGAAAGGCGTTTCCCCTGTCCCACAATGACAAATTTGCTTAGTGTCGACTTTTAAATTACATATAAAAAGTAAAATGTTTTTATTTTTCCTTTGGGAAATCGAAAAAATTCCAAATACGTATCTTATGTACACTCAATTTGCTGAATAATAATAATATTATTATTATTATTATTATTATTATTATTATCTAATTATCACGTACTTGTAGAGTGCCACAATAATAATGGGAGCCACTAGGTACAACTGCATGTCCACCGCCATGTACCATGTCCACCCCATACACTGTGAATTATAACATAATATTTTACACTTATTTTTACCTTGAATTATTAGTAATGACTAAAGTGATGAAGAAATTTAAATAATTTCAAATGAAAAAATCTGAACAAATTCAATGTGAAAGCTCAGCATTATGTTAGTTTTTGGGGGTTTTCTGTGAGATGGAATCTCCATCTTTATCAGGGCGTAAAAGTTAATCCTCCTAAGACCGGGTATAAAAATTGCTTTCAAATTCAAGATGGAACTGCTTTTCATATGCAAAAGAGAGGGTAATATCCTTCACTGAATCAAGAAAAAATGAAGACATGGACTGGTATGAAAAACTGTATTTACCATTTGGTCTGTGTTAACGAAGTTGTTAATGTAGAGGACGTTCGTCCACCAGCTATGACGACAGTGGGGTTCGACGTTGATGGGTTTCAATGGGCCCTGAATCCAGTAATCATCAAATGCCGTGTATAACAACAGGACAACAAAATACGGGGCGGAATATCTACATAAAATGAAAATAAAAACAAGCAGACAGTCTAAAAATAAATTAATATTTTGATTAAAATTAAAATAAAAAATCGAAATACTGAATGAGACATGGAGGGTTTTTTAAGCAGCGAAGCATGCCACAAATTGGCATGTTGGTGGCTTTGTCGAGGATTTTTTCGAAAAAATTGCCTAAAACGTTTATATGACGCATTTCCACCCATTATAATTTACGAATCTATTCAAATCAACTCTATATTGTCTACAAAATATTAATCTAACCTACAAAACCGTCCTGCGTAATATTTCAGCCATTGCACTTTCAAAATCTCTCCGTCATTTTTGTCCATTTCCTTGAGGGTCCAAAAGGTCAATGATATTCCACTGAAAAGAAGAAAACAATTATTATTTAGGGAACATAATACCCCATGTATATTACACCTTATCTCTCTTTATACCACGTTTTACCATATTTAAACCATTCTAAAACCTCATCACATCACCTAAGAATCTTTAAATTATATGTAGGATTTTGAATCAAATTAACTAATTGGGAAACGCTTTAATAAAGATAGTTTATCATAAACGGATGTTAGTTGGCAATTTTTAAATAAAAAAATTAACCGCGCACAGAACGGTTTCAAGACGCTGTGGTGGCATATCACCTGATAGTTAGCAGGGTGTCTACAGCAAATGGAGCTCCCACTACGAACATGAAAGTCCAGCGGCTGAAAATGTCTGGGAAATAGGAAGGTGTGTTACCTGGAAGACCATTTAAAACCCATGAAAATTAAATTCAGAAAACGGTTCCAAGAGGCAAAGAATTTATCGCCAGAAAGCAGTCCTCGATAAAGATGACAAATACAGAGCCTAATTACTAAGCAAATTCTTTTCGTTCTTTTTCAAGAATTACTTTCGTTGTACTCTCTCTCTCTCTCTCTCTCTCTCTCTCTCTCTCTCTCTCTCAAACCCACACACACGCTCACACTACGTGTTCTCACCTATGGAAGACTGTCCTATGCTAAACATATGCATTAGAATAATCCACATGACACTGAGAACCTGTATTCCTGGGAACCCTGGGAGGTAAGTATCATCTGGTATCATGCACGTCAGCTTTTTGGCATTCTGGGGAACGGAGAACAGCACAATGATCTTGGTCGCAAGATCTGGGAATATGAGAAACGTAGAGATATAAAAAGACGATGGATGGTCAATCACCAACAGTATATGCACTACGGTAGTTGTATCACATTTAAGGCAACTGTTGACAAAATTGGAAAAAAATTAAAATCAGACCCTCCATCTCACACGGATTTGCCGTTAATCTCACGGAATGTTCAATATTTCTCACGGAAAATTGACGGCAAAAGTTTATCAGAGTAAAGAACCGCATTGCCGATGTGAGAAACATTGCAAGCACCAGCAAGGGAATTGAATACTCTCTATAGTTCCTTCGGAAGCGTTCATGTGCAAAGTTTTCACTAAGGAAGTATGACTTCATCTTATTCCATTGTCTTGCATTTCATCCATCTGTCTTGATATTGTGGTTTTTTATGACCAGGCAAGGTAAAAACGTCTCCTTTGACAATAAGGTTGTGACCTCACAGATTTTGACCAAATGTTTCTTTTTCTCATTCTTGAATTTTTGAAATTCTCCAGATTTATCTACCTCAGACGTTGGAAGGTTTGTAAAATTCAACGTATCAGGATTTTTGGATAATAAGCGTTTGTATTTGCACAATTACATTTAAATGGTAAAATGGCATTTTCGTGAAATGACTGTTAAAAAGACAAATAATATATATTACAAATATCTGCCTGACACATTATTTTGTCTTCGTCTTTTTTAATCTTAATGTTATTTTTTATTCTCATTTCTTAAAATTTTAAATGATAAAAAAATGATTTCTAACACGTGCTTACTTGGTGTTGATTCTGGCTCTTCTTGTGACCCTAACAAAGACTGGCGGTCTGTCATTATAGGTGCAAAACGCTCCACGCGCAAACTCTCGTGTGGTCGAGACATGGGGCTCGTGATGTTTGGCAGGGGTCTCACTTGTTCTATCTTATCTATTGGCAAGTTTCTTTTCATCATTCTGTCATGGTAAACCTCGTAAATACTTGAAGTACAGGTCACTAGAATAATCACTGCTACAACACACCTGTGAATAGTTGAAAAGCAGTATCACCAGGATAATATTACAACAGTTTCATCTACTTTTTCATTTATTTTCATGTAAGCAAAAGTAAACATGACCAACATTTGCCATGTCAGATTACATATACAAATTAAATTTGTCTAATCCTGTTCGCTATAAGAGAAATACAATCAATGTAGCTTTCTAAAATAAGTCGCCAGATTGAAATAATAAACAAGCTTTTAATTTAAACGCATGAATTTCAATGGATACTGAAAAGGACGGGAGGGTCCAGTTATCAGATATCTCTTAAAGTCAGGGTTAAGCTAGCTTCAGTGTAACTATTTCAACTGATTACCCCCCAAGGCCTACTTAATCACCATCTGCATGATCCTTATATTAATCGGCCTAGACTTAGGGCGCATTCCCATAGATTTTAGATCGATCTATCCCCGTGGGGAGTCTCACTAGATTACTGTCAGATAATCCGGCTTAAATGTCCTTCCCGCCTACTACAAGCTGTAAGGGGGTAATTAACTTTCGTGCCCGCACGGCGGACAGCTAGTTAGCGTGAACCCCCAGGGAGTTAGGTCGATCTAGTTGGAGCGATCTAATCTCTGGGAATGGGGGCTTATGTAGTTACAGACAATTGCATGCAGGGTTGCTAAACGAAATACTAGCGTTACCTACAGGGCTGTTATGGCCATCGGGTCACCCGCCAGTGAGGAGAGCTGCTTTGGCGTGTGGCAGCGCACACTTAACGGCCTCATGAACGTGGCGTTGATGGACAGAGGCAGATCTGAGGAGAAAAAACACAGAAACCATTAATGGTTATTTTCGTACCGATACGCAGTTTATCTTCTCTTCAATTAATTTTTGCGTTTTTCATTCACCGTTCTTTTTTCATTACTTTTTTACCCTCTTTAATCGTGTGAACACTATAACCTATAGGTGTGTCAATTACTGCATGGTAGTGAATGGAAACAATATATATATAGAATCCAAGTGCAGGGACGGGTCGAGGAAAGGTTCGCAAGTAGGAGAAAAATCTCAAAGGAAAGGCTCTATGTGGTGTGTAAATTCCACATAGAGTACCTTTAACAAATCTAATTTCTCAACTGAACGAATTGCGAGCAAATCATTGCATAATGAGATGNCAGCTAGACGTTATGCATTTGTGACAGTAACGTATGTTCCTTTTTGGGGTTAGATGATGAATTATTTTTTATTATTCGTGGTTCCAGGAAAGTGAAACTTTAATACAAACTTCTTTATGTGGGACCCTAAAATAATCAAACATAGTTTGTAATCTGTGCACTACATATTTTTAGGAACATGCCTGTGACATCGTTTGTACCTCTATATTGGGTTTGGGTGTACAGCCCATCTAATGCATTCAAGCTGTAGGTTCTGCCTTGTAATACGTGTATGTGAATGTGGTGGCAGTGTAATTACTGGAACTTGCGCTGGTGACGCTGCGAGATTATGGGTAAAAGTAAGAAAAGAAGAGCTAACAGCTCACCTAATTATGGTCATTTGCAGCTTAGTAACATTTCAGAAGACGTAAACCGTGTGTTACAGGACACAGCTCGGGTTTGATATTGGTTTATATTCTCATACAAATATCAAATCCGAGCTATCGCCCTGCTCTACCCAACTACCAGACTCGGCACCGAATGATCCAGAATTCACCGGTAGATCAGACCACGCTACCCGTTTTTAAGGTGTGTATCAGATCGCATTACATAGTATCATACCCTGAACAAATTTTGAGTGGTGATGCAATGCTTTTCAACCCCGCTGAGAATCGTCACTATCACATCGCGTGCTAGGCAAGAGCGGTGTCGCGTCTGATACTATGTAATGCGATCTGATACACACCTTGGAAACGGGTAGTGTGGTCCGATTTACCGGTGAATTCTGGATCATTCGGTGCCGAGTCTGGTAGTTGGGTAGGCCTGGATTTGAGACTTGCTATTGAGCACTGCTGGTATATAATCACTTTAGAGATATAAAACCCAATGAATCCGATAACGCAGAGAAGGAATTGCAAAAAAAAAAAAAACTCACCAGCATGCGCGGTCAGAACCTCCAAGTCACCTTCACTGCACTGACTTGACATACATATCCCTAGGGTGATATTGAGGCTAGAATCCTGGATAAAAACGAAAATCAAATAAACGCCGGTGTAACAGGAATGGAAGTCCTCTAGAAACCGATGTCCTTTCCCCATTACTTTGTCCAAGTGACATGCGTCCCATATACTAACCCTAATTACTCCGACTAACCCTAACCTGTGCTGATTAACATGGGATCCAGGGCTCCGTATCTCGAAAGGTTCGCTATGTAGCGCACGTGCGCAAGTGTCTCGACTCCATGGCCCCGTATCTCGAAATAGAATCGGTTATGGAATCGAGTCACTAACGCACGTGCGCAACATAGCGAACCTTTCGAGATACGGAGCCCCGGACTTCCATTCCTAGGACTACAAGTACCATTCCTGTCACATCGGCTGTGCATGGTGTCAACATACACCTCGCACTCTCGATTTAACGTCGTCATGCTTCTTCATTCATTCCCTTATACATGTACTCTGAATATCTCTGTCCCATTCTTTTAGGTTTACTGTAATTAACTCCTTTAAATATTTTGACATAATGCATTTTCACATGCTGCCATTTCTTCGTTTTCAACCGTTTACAGGAAATAACATATATATATATATATATAATTTTTTTTGACGAAACCAAATGCTTATGTTATGGTGAATGACAAAATATAAATAAGATTATATTAAAACAAGATGAATCTTAAACTAAAACAATGACAAAAATATGCTATTAATATAATCGTTTGATGTGACATATAATGTAACGGGTCGAAATGATATGCAGAAAGGACATGAATAAAATTATATATATTCTATATGAAACCACTCCAATTCAAAACTGCCCTAGTCTACAAAAAATCTTTCCTCCTCTTTTAAAGCCTTAAATGAAGTACATCAGTATTTCATCAGATTCCACCCTTAAAATCTGGTATACCTTGGTCTTTAAGAAAGGGAAGTGCACAGTACAATACTTGCTACGGCCAGTGAACTGGACCTGCGTCTCTAGACATTGGTCAAAGGACCCTAGCCACAGGAAATGACCCTCAGCAATGGCACTGGCAGGACGACCGGAGGCATCGTACACTGGAATGGTGATATATTTAAGATTAACTATTTACAAAATTATCTATATTTATTAAATGAAGTAGAAAAATACCAAACATATTACAAACATTTTAATGCTCTTTATTAAAAGAGCACATAGACCGCGCTGTAATACGTCACCAGATTCTGAGCTAATATAACGTCATGATCTTCAGTTTTTAGGAACCAACAGCCGTATCAGTCATATATACATACGTTTACAACCGTTTTCTGATAAAAATGATCCTACGTCCGCTACCCACTATTTTACCGAAGAAATCAATTAAAATCTTTGCGTGACAGTATAACCAAATAGTATTCATTCTGTTAGATATGTTATTCTTTTGTATAACATCATGCTATATACAGCCGTGAACTTACTTTGTAACGCCCATGGCTTACTATCATGTAGAGCGCGAAGATATATCTTAACGTCCTCTTTGCAGCTTGCAGAGATATTCAAAATGGCGTCTGATTTGGGGAGCACCATCTTGACCTCGTTAAAACGCCGCAATGGAGTGGCAAGTATTTCCTGGAGCTTGGTCACCCATAGTGATGTATTCCCTTCTGAGTAGGACCACCATTTCCCCTGATCCTTTAAGACTTCTGATGATGGCGAGTGAGTTACTAAATCTGCTGAGCTTTGACTGTCTTTTGTTTGATTCAAACGAGACGCGTGGTCAAATCCATAAATTGTCCTAGTTTGTGCAGACAGAAATGTCTGAAAGACGAATACTGTCAATACCAAACCTCTCGCCATAGTTTTCATGCAGCAGCACGATTTGATGACCGGAAACTCGGCTGTCCAGTCTCAATAATTTAAATTTTAGTTTGTAAACCGATGCATTTCCTTGCTTTATTGGTGTCACCGCGGGTGACAGGTCGTCCTGCCAAAGATATCTCAACTGAATGAACGCTCATTAGTGCCCGTGCTATTTCTCTTTACGTTCCGACCACTGTGGTTAGGCTAGCTACGTGATCAAGGTTAACCCCAGCAGCACTAACAATAAACTTGTCACACAAAGTCTTCTCTCCGAAGCCTTGACCTTTAGAATTATCGATGTACTGACCGGTCTTTGCAACACATACAGGCACTTGATTGCTCAGGTGAACAGTAGTTTAACTGCGGTAGTCAGCTTTCTTTGATTTCGGTTTTCTTTGAAGTCTTGGTAAGTAAAAAAAAAACCCAAAAGCCATTCTTATAGTGTTTTCAGAGCAATGTCATTTAATCATTAGCTTTAGAAAACACTTAAAAATAGAAAAAGAAGGGAAAGCAACGAATGCAAGTGTTCTATCATTGAAGATGCTAGATATAAGTCTTTTAACAGTTATCATACTGCGTCCACAAATTCATCGCCTGTGCAACATAACTCTTAGTTGCTTCAGCTTTTGGCCTTACGTGCCAGGCTCTTATCATGGAAGGCTGAAAATTGAGGCAAAATTCGTAGGACTTTTTATCCAAAAATGATGCTTGCGTGCGGTCGCTGTTTGCAAAGCTTTCGAGTTATAGAGCCCCGGATTTAAGCAGGAATTGAAAATGAGAACAAAGAAAAACTGCACGAATGTTCAACACAAACTTCATTTGAAAATCGCGACCACATGAAAAAAATACCATTTATTTTACAGGAAGGCTTTGTTATGAGCGACATCAATAACAAAGCCTTCTCCTAAAATGAATGATGATGATGTCTTGGAATAATAAATAAATAAATAAATAAATAAATAAATAATATGAGTTATTCGTCCGTTTCTAATAAGGAAATTCATTTGTTTTTCAGAAATGTGTGCTGTCTTCAGTACGAAGATGGTGCACAATATGGGGCCATTCAGATCGAGAAGAGCCGAGTGCTAGTAAGGCCGCGACCTAAATATGGCGGACCTACATGAAAGGAAGACCGCTTAATCCTGTAATGGTCTTTCCACCTCTCACACGGATCCCCACGCGTTGACCCTCGACCAGTTGAATCGGGCCGAGATTTAATTACTGTGTCCCTGCAGGGACGACGGGGCAGATATACACCGCCGATCAGCAATACCAGATGTTATATTGAAGTGGTTCGGAAATGTGTACGGTGAGTGACACCTCCAAGAATTCAATATGTATATTTCAGAACTTTCTAAAATGTGTGGGCTGTGTCTTGGATAAGGAAATGTTACGTTTCGTTGAAAAGTTTTTAAAAAACGCGGATACAATCAATTTTCGTGGAAATTTTTACCCATCTTGTTACTGAACAAACATACAATAAAATGTTTAACCAACGTGGAGATCTTTTACCTCTCGGTGTGACGACAACACAACCCCAACCAATGTTTGATGTCGTGAAATACTTTCAAATTGGTTCCAGAGCACGACAGTTATTGAGCTCAATGAAGTCTTCCATGTTATAATGCGTGACTGAAAATACAGTCTACTTTCGATTAACTCGAGTTTTATTACCTCTTCCTTCATTATAAGATAGGGGGAAGCAAGTGAGCTACAGGAACGCATTTTAAAACAGACAACGCCATTCTGTGCAATGGTAAACGTATATTTCTAATTTCTGTATATGGAATGTTTAAACACATTCGAAATCTCATTTGACAGAGATTTAGACATACAATGAAAATATTAACTCCATTTTTTTTAAAGTTGCTGTGTAGCAGAATACCAGTACACGCTACGGCAATCATTTATTCTACTTTTACTTGATATAAACATGAAAATTTTAAAGTTTACCAACTTATAAAGCAAAATATTGCATTACTTCAATTCAGTGTATATTGTATTACATTTGCTCGTTTTCTTCGGACAGCGTAATACGACATCTATCATGTGGAGCAGTCCTAAATTGGTTGTAAGCGCCTTTTTGGCGTCGAATTATTTGCCAGCTGAAAAATAGAAAGTGTGTCCATAATATATTTGCAAAACAAATCATTATATAGTTTGCGAGCAATGTTTCCTCTAAGCATCTTCATGAAATTTAATACTGTCGTTTGTTCCAATATATTTGGTGGCTTTAACCAAAGTTTATTTATAATTACTCTACGTTTATTAATCTCATAAAAATCATGTAAATACATTTTTACTATAATACAACTTAAATATTATACAACTAGGTCTAAGAGAGTATCAAACTGCAAAAGACTTTATGAAGACATTTGCTGCTTAGAAAAAGAATACATCGTTCGTGTGAAGATATTATACGCAGTAACCTTGTTTTAGCTTGAAAACACAAACGAAACTGACAATAATTTGGAAATGCGGGAAGTAATCCTTTTTCTATTAATTATCTTAACTTATCATAACCTGTGAAAATGACAGTCTTTAAAACGCGACTTAAAATAAATGCTGGTCATTTAAAACAATTCTTTTCTTATCTGAATAATTCTATTTATTTATTTATTAGAAATATTTACCACAGGCTCCTCCAGTGCAACTGCCTCCTTGTCGCAGACGCGTGTAACAACACTGGTTGTTATAGGAACAACCCTTTCCGCCTTTGCTGGGAGCGGGGTTGTCACAGTTCATGACGCGGGTTCTCCTGCAGCTTGAGTCACACGTGCTCCAGGCCTGCCATGAGCCCCAATTGCCGTCAACTACAATTCATGAAATTATAATTCATACAGAATAATGTAATTTTATGTTAATATAAATCAAATTATTTGAAAAATAGCTTCTTCATGAAATCAAGATATATTTTCCCATGACAGTCTGGTTGAAGCTTTGCTTATAGCCACATGATGACAATAAATAGACAGAAAGACAGAACAGCAGAATTGCAGTCAGACGTAAAAGGACAGTGCCATAATTATGACAAAGTCAACTGTTTTGTCTCATTACCTGCATCGCCACATCGGCCAGCATCACACGAAGTTTTGCCGTTTAGGCGGTCGTACCGACACACTCCTTTGTAGCAGCAGTAAGAACCACCGTTTGAAGGCGCCGGGTTGTTACAGAGTTTTGCTATCGCCTTGACTCCAGATCCACAGGTGACGCTGCAGCCTGACGAGGAAGTCCAGTCACTCCAATTGCCGTCAACAGCGACATCTATGAAAAAACAGCAGTATTTTTTCGCAAAATTAAATGGTTGTATTTTGAATATGACAAAGTGAATTGACTTCATGGGTTTTATACACACGCCTCTCCCATTAGGGTCATTTTGAAAACCTCGCATAATATACATTTAATTTCATATTCACCATGTTCAAAAAGCTATTATAGTTTGATGATCGACTTACAACCACTGACCATCGCATTTAATAATATAACAACATATACTTAATAACATACTAGATTGGAAGCTATCCATGCCAAGTAGTATGACGAAAATTAAAACGAAAATGAGGATCCGTGCAACAGAGAATCAGTCCTCCATTTAGTTATAATGGTTAGGGTGAGCCTGACCCGATTGGGTCAAAATCTAGGACGAGGCTAACCTGTACAAATGAATGGGAAGCGGACTCAGATATCATAAGGGACTCTCTGTCACGTAACACCGGCACATCGGTTTACATTTTCTTAGTAAAGAAATTACTTACAGCTATGGAATCTTTTGGTTAGGAGTTACAAATATTTATATACTAATTAGGCCAAACCATGTTTTTTATTCACAAGCAGGAACGCTCTCATTTGTTGGTGTTACTGGCAGAAGGAACTGCATCACAAATAGTCATCCTTAAAGGTGTGATACATTATGTGTTCTAGCCGGGCGAATAGCTTTTATGAGATGGAAAGTAAATCCCTTTGAACAATGTGAGATGTGCGAATAAAAATCGCCCATAACATCACCAATCCATACTCTATTAAAAAAAACAGCTTATCCAAAACATATCAGCTACTGAAAATTTTTGTCTATACGTACACATACATTTGTAACAATCAGATAGCACGTCTTACTTGTACAGTCTTTGGTGTTGCAGTCCTGGGTGTCTGTGATGTCGCCGCCAGCACATTTCCCTCCGTTACATAACATCTTTCTAGTTTGGGTTCCTCTACCACATGAAGCTGAACACGAGGTCCAGGCACCCCACTGCCATTTGCCTTAATGTACAGGGTTACTACTTAATATGGAATATTATTTTTTTGGCGAGTAAATTTTCTACAAAGTATTTATTTTCTCTCTTACTCTTTTAAATCCAAAACTGATGTGTCACTTTATGTGTAGCCAGGTGTGTTACCTAATTACCATGCAACTTTCGAAACAATTAATGTAAGCAGTTGCATGTTCTGTGGTCAGAAATGTGAGGGGTGGTCTTTTCGGCAATTTCTGCCCTTGTATAAAAACGCATGGGTTTGGTCAATCTTTGGAGTGTATTTTGAGAAGCAACAAAGGGATCTCTCTGAAACTTGTCAGGTACCTTATAGAAGATATGGTTCGACAGCTAAGCAACGCAGCTTACTATGGGATTCTTGCTCTCAGAGAAAATGGCTAGAAACGGACAGCCACTGCCAGACAATTCAACATTTGTCAGGAACCGTTAGTAAAGTCCTCCAAACAAATGCTACAACAGGGGCACCTACTCCAATACGTCCACCAGGGTGTCCGCGTACCACACCAAGAAGACAGGATCGCCTTCTCCTTAGAGTGCGCCGTGCTGGTCGTAAAAAGACAACCAGTGTCCTCAAAAAAGAGTGGCAAAATGCCATTCAAACGCCCGTTTCAAGGTCCCTTGTGAACAAGAGATTACAGCAAACTGGTTATTTTGCACGAAGAGCAGTATGGAAACCACTGTTAACAGCAGGTCATATACAGCGACGTCTGCAATGGGCTGGGGACCACGTGCGTTTGCAGCCAAAACACTGGAATCACGTCGTTTTCAGTGATGAGGCCAGCTTTGGAATTTTGGGGGTTGACTGTCGAATTCGTGTCCGCCGACGTGTATGAGAGGCATAAAACGATGATTGTGTACTACCTAGGGTGCAAGCAGGGGGTGGTAACGTCTCTGTTTGGGGAGCATTCCATGCCGGTGCCCAGAACCAGTTGGTTTTTCTAGTAGGCAACCTCAACCAGGGTTCCTACAGAGACATTCTACAGCAAACAATGCTTCGATTTGCAATAGTCATATTTAGGAACAACTTTGTGTACCAAGACGACTGTGCAACCCCACATCGAGCTCGCAGAATCACTGTTTTTCTTCAAAACCAATGGGTTCAGCAACTGCCCTGGCCTGCAAACTCCCCAGTAATGAACCCAATTGAAAATCTGTGGGCGGAAGTAACTCAGAGATTTAATAGCTATGGTCATCGGCCGGTAAATAGTGATGAAATGCGACAGGTAAATATCACTGCGTGGAATGATATCCCCATCCAAACTCTAAAAAACTTGTCACAGGGTATGGCATGTAGGAAGAGGGCGCTGCAATCGGCTGCTGGAGGTCATACCCGCTATTGATGACTTTTCATGATTTACTGTAATGATTTCTTTGACTGTGTAACATATCACTGGCCGGAGGCTATCATTTTCTTTAATATCTTAGTTTAAAGTTAATACTGACATCAAACTGTTGATATGGTTTTCTGGGGGTGTTCTTTTCTTTTGAATGACATCTTATGTCAGATTTGATATTATTGACCAAAATATCTCACAATAGAAGACTGGATATTTTTCTCACTCAATGATGTACTTTTTTGATGAATCAAGCCAAAAAATATTTAATCAGCACTCAAAAATAACAATGATAAAAAATATTCCATATTAAGTAGTAACCCTGTGCGTGTACTGCAGCAAATATTAAAACAGGCACCTTTTCAAAATATTTTCTGCACATTATCGACAACAGGCATGTGTGGCAATTTTCAGAACAGTATATTCCAAACCATTATAAATGGTGGATCACTATACATTCTATTTTTCAAGTAGTTTAAGTTATTATTATTATTATTATTATTATTATTATTATAAGCGGGTTAATTTTGGGCAGGATTTCCACACTTTGAAAAATTCTTTGAAACAAAAAAATCTTATTCTATTAATATATCCCTAGTGTACTCACTAGCAAGGCAAGCACGGGTGTTACAGTTCTGGGATTCAGAAGCACTTCCAGGACAGTCACTTCCGCCATTACATGTTCTTGCTCTTGTCTGACTTCCGCCGGCACACGTGACAGTGCACGTGGTCCAGGCAGTCCAGTCAGACCAGGTGCCACCTTTAAGAACATTTGGACATTTCAACATATCGCTGGACCACATGTGATTGTTCACGTTTTTGGTATGTCCTCATGCTGCATGTACTGGTATTATTCTACTGTTTTACTTTACGACAAATTTGCATAAGTAATAGCTTAAGATTATAAAATTATATCTTTGTGACTGTGATTGTGATTATGCACGTTTTGGTATGTTCACATTGTTTGTGTAGGTACATGTACTGATATTATTCCACTGTTTTACGCTTTAAAATTATAAATTTTTATCTCTGAAAACAAGACTTACAAGCGTTTGCATTGCATCCTTCAGTCTGTGAACTGTCACCAGGGCATTTTTGACCATTTGGACATGTACGGGTGCGCGTGCGGGTGCCGCCCCCGCAGGTGGCGCTGCATCTGCTCCACTGGCCCCAATCACTCCAAGTACCTTTAACATAAATAAATAAATCAATAAATTGATTTAAAAGGTAAATAAATACATAAATGCATTTCTGAATCTCGTCCTGTAGACAGGTTCCTATGACGATAGTAAAATGCCATATCAGCTGACATTCGAATTTTACAACACGGCGTCATTTCTAAGTTTCCGGATATTCCGGAAAATATATTCCCAGAAAGAAGAAAAAAGCAATTTCCACATTCTTTTAAATGCAGTCCTCAACCTGTTGAGAAGAACATGTGCGACATCCACGAATAAAGTTCAAAATGCATAGTTTCTCGTATTTACCTGTCAATTTAGATTGCTTATGATAGTAACATTGGATGCAACAGAAACCGGAAGCCCTGATTTGAGCACTTGCGCACAATCTGTCGCCATCTCGGGCGATGGCCGCTTTGCATGTTTCCCATCCCTTGCCGACGTTAATTTTCGCGAAGTCGTCAGCAGTGCACAGCTTACCGGGCCATCCTGGGGGAAAAAAAAAAAAAATATATATATATATATATATATATATATATATATATATATATATATATATATATATATATATATCATTTCTCAAATTGATGGTTTTTAATGGTTTGAAGGGCTGTTTACTTTAAACATATTGTAAAAGTACTTGATTTGGAAACATGACGATCATCGGAGGACACTACTGTAGTTTAAGATGTAAGGACAAGGCCTTAAGTTTAATTGGCGGGAAAACATTCTCTTGCAAACAAGAAAAAAAGACTGTCGGGTAAAGATTGACCAACGTTTTTCAAAATCTATTTCACTGCAATCAAGGTACCAAACATTTTGCTGTCCACATTATATCGAAAGTTCTCGCGGTCGCTAGAGAAGCAATATGTCACCATTTTGGATTTTGGTTCAATACAGATTAATTTTGGACGAAGAGCAACGCGTGTGGAGCGATTCAGACTTACCATATGGGCACCACGAGGTCTTCTTGCCGCTATCACCACGAGATTTTGGCAGGGCGGCCTTTTTGTCAACACATGAGCCCTGTATGCACCACTTATTCGTGTCGCAATCAGTGCCATCTGCCGGTGGTTTAAACCTGTGAAAACAGCGGCCCGATGTCTGTTTACAGAGCAGTAACTGGCAGTAGTTTGAAGATCCTAATGTCTGTAACAAAATGATATGCTACATGTAGCTGACACGTATTTGAACAGCTGCAAGCATGGTCCATTAAGCTGTATACCAGGTTAACGGGCCAGAAATTCTAGAAATAAAAGCGGACTTCAATAAAAAATATTTAACCACTAAATTCAAATTTGTGGTAGTTCTTCATTTTAGGGAGGAGAAACCGCAATCTATATTTGTAAGTAATGGAGAGCGCATTCAGGTATTGGATTCGATGTTCTAGACAATACATACCCTACACATCGATGAACTCGACCCATATAACATCTGGCACTGCTGATCAGCGGTGTATAGTTGTCCAGGAAGATGCTGTGTATGTGCTGCAAATTCTTCAGAATTTTCATATTGGCCTTTGTCAACGAGGCAACACGCTTCACTGAAATATATTGGTACGAGATATGTTATATGAATATCCAAGTCCAGACAGGCAACGCAACAGTCAGATTTGTATAAATTCAAATGAATAAGCGGAATGTGTGTGTCACTGTGTACGTGTGTGTGTGAGAGAGAGAGAGAGAGAGATGATGTTCATAGGAGTTTTACTCACGCTAATGCTACTTTGAAATTTGCAACGGAACATTTGGAAAAATAATAGCCTTTTGTCGGATCCGAGCTGCCAGAAGATGGAGCCATAATGTACCCAGCCCTGGAGGAACAAGCCCTATTGTCATAAGTTCTCCCAAAAGTACCAGCATAACCGTCATGGTGAGCTCCAAGACTGAAACACACAGAGAGAACCTTCAGAACTGCTTATAAAACTCAAGTAACGTTTTTGCGGATTTTTTTGTCAGAATCTATTCCAAACACGATGCCAAACAGAAAAAGGAATTCAATAACACGAACAAAATATCTAGTGCCGTAGAAGAGATGGAACCAGTTATAGAAATACACTTATTATGTGAAATACAGCAACACAAAAATGACCGATATGAACAGTGAATATAATGCTCGTATGTTTAACCTAAATACAAACTTATTTACGGTTATCACTCGTAGACCTGTTTATGTTTCCATGGTCTTGTTTAACAACAGCCATTAGCTTAAAATTCTTCTAAACTTTTAAACAATACTTTTAATCAAATATGACAAAATATATGAAAGGTAGAAATATTACGCCGTTCTATAACAAGAGCGACATTGCCAATGTTCCAGACCAATACTAAAAGGATTTCAAACTAAAGTAGACCAAACTTAAGTTCTCTAAATTGTTTTGGCCAATTTCGGACTACAGTTCGTGTATGAGACAGGCGGCTCCAGTTTCACTTACTTGTGACCCAGTTCATGGGAAGCGGTGATGAACGAATTGAAGCCTCCAAAAGACTCAACGATAGAGCAGGAACCGGACATGGAGCATATGGAGGAAACTCTCGCCACTCCGGCAACAGAGGTATCGGTCTGAGTTGTAACAATGTCACGCCTGTAATTATAATGAATAGTGATAAATACCCATACACGTATACCATGCCACACCCTGACAGCCTTAATGTGTTGTGGTTAAAAAGTACATGCGATTCCAGAAATTCCAAAAGGGCATGTGGATGGTGGAGGACGCACAAGTGGGAAGGAGACTAGATATAATTTAATGTACCATGTCCACTTGAAAAATTTAGAAACTTAGGGAGGGACGTGTACCTCTTTCGCTGCCAATGATCTGTCTGTGTAGTTTTTACACATATTAAGTCAACAAAGAAATGCTTAATTCCAAATGATCTTTGTAAAAACACCGAAAACATATAATTAGGCTGTAAATAACATTAAGAAATGGAGTAGTGTAAATTTATCTCAAATGGCATTATACTCACATAGTGAATGCCATTCCGTGATCATGTTCGCTGAAAGAACCGTAGTTCTTTTTGCGGTACTTGCACCAGTCATCCAGGGAGGTTTTTCTATTCACCATTTTCCTTCCGTCTTTCTCCGGTTCTCCCGGTAGCACGTTATTACTAAACCAAGGAGCCCCACCGGCGCCCTGAGGATTATAGAATCTTACCGTTTTAAAGTTTATCTTGGCAATCTAGCCGAGGCTATTACACAGTATCTCCACCTTCTGTAATATCTTTTCCCCTTAAAACATTTTGCCACTACCATACGTTCAGTTTTTATTCAAGCGAGTTTAGATGGTTAAGTCACAATTGTTTCCGTTTTACAACAAATGACGACATTTAAACAAATGCACTTTTTTATCATATAATAATGTGCAATCGCACACGTTTCCATGCATTCTGCGCAAACCGTGACCTTTCGGATACGTCATAAACTACCGTCTTAGCGAGGTTGATAACTCGCTGCAATAAGACAGTTTTTCACTTTGGGTGTATATCATGCTGTTTTTGCTGGTGCAACGAAACTGAGGGTTCGCGTAACAGAAAATCCGCCCTCCATAGTTATAATGGTTAGGGTTAGCCTCACCTGAGTGGGTCAAAATCTATGGCGAGGCTTACCTGTTTAAATGAATGGGAAGCAGGCTCTCTATGATGGGGGACTCCGTGTCACGTTACACCGGTTGTTAGCGTAACAGAGTGGACTTTGTACGAACGCGGGGCATCATCACGACCACTCATTAATAAATATACTTTACTTGATGTTTTTGCTTCCCTGTGTACCGATGATAATTCTACTTCCGTGCAGTGACCAGTTGAAGAATTCAGAACGAATATTACCTTGGCAATAACATATGCTGCCAATACAACGTAAATATTCAAATCTGGATCCTTAATATTTTGGAAGCGAAGGTCCATCTGGGGGAAAAAATTAATAAATGATTGTTACAATTAGTAAAAATTATTAAATCACTCGCACAAGTTAAACGTTTCGACATCACAGCTAACATTATTTGTTCGCTGTACAGAAATTGAGTCTAAGCGTCCTTTTAAGGAATGGCACAGCATCCTTTCTCATATTTTGATGGACATTCTAATAATTGGACACTTTGATATTCAGCATTAATTTTGAAAAAATAACAGATTTATCTTAAATAAAACAACTAATCCATCGTACAAAATTACATATCAATTAATGAGAGTAATGTGATAAAATATTTTTAAAGTTCAGTGCATGTACATTACTGTGGAGCAATATATATTCTTTATGTCTTTAACAGTGGCTTTTGAAATGACATGTGCAATAAACTGACATGCCAATATTCAAAGAAAAAAATGTACCCCATTAGTTATCAGGGCGAAGTATCTTTTCAGTTCCTTTTCCGCCGCAGCAGCGTCTTGGTTATTCCGCCCCATAAAGTAGGTCCAGATCGTGTCATCGGTGCACACCATGAGTTCCACGCTGGCGTCAATGTGGGACCCACTATATGTCTGTCTCTTGCTACGTTCTATGGCTTTATCGGTTTTCTGCTTGTTTATAGCGGTCAGCACGTCCCTCAAGGTCCGGGAAAGCGTGGACTCGTCGGCTGACCGGCGAACATGGAGATGAAGCTGACGAGGTGTTGGTTTTTCTGTAACAAGTGGACATTGCACCAGTACGTGTAAATTATTAGATAGAAATAGCGCAATGGTCATACATTCAATACTTATAATATCAGATAGAATGGAATTATAATCTGTTTATTAAATAATCGTACAATACATGGATCGTGCGAATAATGGTTACCAAGAAAGTGAAATTGATGTCTCGTTAGAAGGATAAACCAAAAACAGTGCCAAAAACAGTACCGACAATTTCAGGCACGGATGAATATTTTGTTTGCATTTTTTTCGGAATAAATAAAATCCATGACCATCACGATGTCTTAATACAAGTATAGGACCTATACATTCAGTAACCATACAAATGTCTACGCAATGAAGCGCTTACACTGTTTGACTACTGTTCAAACAGACACCAAAATTTAATGCTGAAACGTCCGAAAAAAAAACCGGTTTTAAATCAGGCATATAACTTTTAACATATATGTACCGGGTACCTACCGGCATATGTGTCGACGTCTTCCTCTCCTGGGGGTTTTGATTCTATGTTCCGACGAGCCACGACGTATTTGTCGTCTTCTAAGTGACGAAGTTCATACATTTTGTCTGCATCGATAACAAAGCCCTCCTGTGAAATTTTCAAAAAATCTAATTTTCACAAGGTGTCAGTGGAGCTACTGGTAGGTATTACTGAGAGAGAGAGTTCAGTAGGCTTAAAAAACTTGACACGAATTCGATAGGATAGATATGTGTTTTACTTTTAGCACTTTTTTTGTTCTTACAGTGAGAGGAAACAGAACTCACCATTTTCTTTTGATTTTTCGGATGTCTTTTATCGGTATATACTGCAACAGCGGCGTTGCTGGCCTTATCTTGATAGAGAGTGAAATCCTGAAACAGATGACGTAGATGGAAGTAAAGCTATTAATCTAATTTTTTTATTTGAGTAGGTTTCAAAAACTTGTTCATAATACCTTAATAATATTCGGACACTTTATCAATAATTTTAAGCTACTAAAAAACACTCGGAGAGCGAAGACCTCCGCCAAGAAATTGACACTGATAGATTGTGGTAGAGAGCACATTCATTGCACAGCGGGTCAAGGCCCTATCGTGCAACGGTGGAGAATCCTTTAAGCAGTTCTTGGATCCAGATGATGGCCCAGAACACGGATCACCAACAAAATCTTTCAGATAGCCTTTTTCCAACCGATACTGAAAATTTTACCATCAAAATCCATCCATAACTTTTTGAGTAAGGCTGGTGCCAATCAGACAAACAGAAACGGAGGTAAAATACACAATCTTCTTGGCGGATATATATATATATTTTTTTACAAATTTTGGACTCCTTCTTAATCATACCAAGCAGACATGGCAACCCAAAATAAGACATCTCCTTACGTCATCGCTTCCTAGAGCTCTCTTTGTAATCCTCCCAGTGTGGTCGAGGTAATGCACAGGCGTCGTCCTCAAGTTGATTCGGTTGTTTCTCTTCAGACGGAGATCAAAGCTCTTGCCGTGGGCGTCAAATTGGTACCGTGCGTCAGGCTGGTCAGTGCCAAGCTCGCGCTTGACTGGGTCTGTCACCTCCTTTATGGTGACTACTTCGAGGTCTAAAACATTGAAATAACGACTATATTTATATCGCTCCTACAAGATTTTTCCAATACAATTATTCATTTATAAGTTGAAAAGCATCGTTTTAGGCTATAAAATTACCGTCACAAATAACTAATCAAAACAGATGATGAAAACAAAAAGTTGACATAAGCGTGATTATTCAAACAGGCTAAAGCGCTTCTGTTTCAGCAGTAGACCCATTTTTGTAATACAACCTTCTTAACTGAAATGTTGCAAATATAACACTCCAGACATACGTATAGAGCCGAAGATGAATAAGTTGGGATGTTTCACCAGACAGGAAAATCACATTTTCCAAAAGAAAAAAACT